GCTAAATTGACTTCTTTGATCAGAGAAAAGAAAATTTCCACATTTATTGCTGATTGGAAGCCCTTATAGACTTTTTGTATGAAACAGAAAAAAATGAACTTGTAATTTATGGTTTTGATGATTAGATGGAATGGATTTTAGAAAGAAGATAGGTATATTGTAACCATAGAGTGAAAGGAAAACTTATAATTGTATGTATAACTGCTGTAAAGGAAAATAGGAAGCCATTTCTTTGTATTTTTTTCTGTTTTTCTTTTTCTTGCACTTTTAGCTTCTCTTTGATTTCTCTTTCTCTTTTCTTATTTTATATTTGTATTTTCTTTTAAAAATTAATTAAAATATTTTACAAGGCTAATTAATGTATATGTGTAGAGTAGGTGGTGATATATTGAAAACATAACAGCTGTGAGTGGATCCCATGGCGTACTGGATCCCTAAACACTGATTGGAAGATTCTGAAATAATGCAGCTGTGTGGTTTTCTGAATGTGCTTGTAAATTTTCCCCACATCTCTTGAAAACAATATCAAGTTCTTGCCTGATCTGAGACTATAGACTCTAGAGCAGCGGTTCTCAACCTATGGGTCGCGACCCCATTTGGGGTCGATCAACCATTTCACGGGGGTCGCCAAGCAAGGCTGTCCGCCATTTTTTTCCCCTTTTCCGGCGGGGCCTTGAGCTGGGCCAGCTGGTGGTCGGCCTGCTCCGTCTCTGCCGCTTGCCAGCTACGCCTCGGCCGGCGCAGGGGGTGGAACCACGCATGCGCGGCACTCCCGGGCAGGGAAAGTCCTCGACTTACGACCAGTTGGGTAGTCCTCGACTTACAACCGGTTTAGTCATCGACTTACGACCGGTTTAGTCCTCGACTTACGACCGGTTGGGGGTCGCGGCATTAAAAAGGTTGAGAACCACTGCTCTAGAGACAGCTTAGGCTATTCAAAGGCCCTCTGCCCTTTTACAGAATCATGTCGGACCTTTGGTTTACTAGGGAGTTGAGAGCAACGAACAAAATGGGATGATAATTGGCGTACAAATGGAGGAACTCTTGACATAGATCAGATCAGGCATAGATGGAGATCAGTTTGAAATTCTACTTTTGAGCAGCAGAAACAATGAAGAATGTTCCTGTTTCATCAGCACAGAACAGCCTTTTCCATACTGTATACCAGGGGTCTTCAAACTTGGTCCTTTTATGGTTTGTGGACCTCCACTCCCAAAATTCCTCAGCCAGGCATGCTGGCTGAGGAATTCTAGGAGTTGAAGTCCACAAGTCATAAAAGGGCCAAGTTTGAAGATCCCTGCTGTATATACTATTTTGCTCACCATGACATTGGAAAGGAGAGCTAAACCCTTTAATGGGTTACTATGGACCAATTTTGACTTTGAGTATTTGCTGGGACAGATCAGATAGAATGTAACCTCAGCAACTATTATTTGGGATGCTCCTCAGTTTGTAGAGTGAAAGAATGTGGGTAGCTTGAAGAGATAACAGCTACCACATACTCAATCCTTATTGGCCTTGAATGATTAAATTAACCAATACAAAATTAACTCCTGGTTATAGGAAGTGATCAGTGATCCTAGTGGGTAGCATGTGTAACATCTATTAAACTCCTTTGATCTAGGACAAGCATATTTATAGGCCAAACTCAAGTATTTATGGAAAAGGTGGTATATTTGCAGCTCCAAATACATCTGAATGACACTGATTACTTGGGCCAATTTCAGCTGGGCTTTTGTGCAGGGTATGGTACTGAAATTGCTTTGGCTACCTTGGTGGATAATCTATACTGGAAGCTGGAGAATAGGCTCCCTGGTTCTTTTCCCTTGAATCTCTTGACAACTTTTGATAACACTGATCTTATATGGCAGGGGTGTAATGCGTCATGCCAAAACCACACCCACCCCATTGCTGGAAATGGGAAAAAAGTCGTGATATGTCACGGCATGTCACATGACGTCACGAGTTTGACACCTGTGTTATAAGGTATTCTATTCTAGACTATGTGGTAGGATTGGGTTTCAGAACCCTATAGGTAGTTATTACTTATCAGTGTGGAACTCTACTGCTAAGCGATGCAGTCATATGGCATGATGTCATATACTAAGTATGTCACATTGGGGTTCGGTTGAAGGGAAGTTGTTTTTTTAAAAAAAATACTGCCCAAATCCAGCAGTGATTATTCTAAAATCAGCTTCTAATCTTTACCCAGTGTATTCTAACTATTACTACTTGTTTCTACCTGAACTAATATAGCTGCTTCTGGTTCCCATGGTGACTGGCAGCAGCACTAGATAATGGCATGTTCTGTTACGACTACATGCAAAAAACAGGCTGCTACCCTGGTATTTTTTGGCTTGCACTATGCAGTAATGCTGGGTAGATATACTGTTTAGTGCTATTGGAAGATTCGCTTTGCTAGGAGACATTTTTTTATGTTGTATGCTTCAACGGTTACATAAAATACCCTGGATTTTAGCCTTAAAATAACTGCTAATCCACTCCTGGATTACTTTATGTACCAACTTCCAGTTCTACAGAAACATTTTTTTCTAACAGCCTACTTCATCAAATGAATCATTGAGAGAAAAGCATTTATGCACATACATAAAGTGTTTGTGTGCAGGATGTATAAAGATGATCCTTAAAAATAATTTAGATAAAGTAAGTGCCTTACTGGATGTATCGGATACTTGCAATGTTTAAATGCTGTCTTTGCTATGTATTACCTATCTAAAATGTCACTATTATAAGATGTTATAAGACATTCAATATGACTTTTCATGAATTGTTTCTCAAGCCTCATACTTTATACGTTGTATCGTCCCTTCCCCCATATAGAATGTAAGGAAAAGGGAAACAAGATTGCCACACTAGCTTGCTATACTAACTTGAGTTGCGGAGCATTAATAATTTAGTACAATTCTATTTACTGCTCATTTTGTTTACAAATATTAAATTAGTAAGTTTCTAACTGTAATCTTAAATTTCTTACTCTAATTAGATGTGCATTGATATATTGCTGAGATAGTTTGGTTCTATTAGAACAGAGGTCTCCAACCTTTCTCAGTTGGCAGAGCGGAGGAAAGGGAGGGGGAAGCATTTTACGCACACACGCACATGCACAAACGGGGCCGTGAGCACGCATGATGCAAATGGGGCAGTGCTAGCGCCCGTGTGACACTCGCTAGCACTGCCCCGTTTTTGCCGCATGGGCACTAGCACCACCCCGTTTTTGCTGTGCGGTGCCGTTTTTGTAACGGCGGCGCTAGCACAAGTGGTGAGTGCTTGCACACACGTGCGTGCACTGGCCAGCCTGTCCCGCGGCCCAGTGGCCAGCAGGCCATGGCCCAGGAGTGGTCTGCAGCCCACAGGTTCAGGACCCCTGTATTAGAATGAACGTAATGCCACAAAATTCCAACATAGAAACACCTGTTAAATGGATAACTCTGCTGTGAAAAAAAATAACCATTAAAAGCGCTGATTTGAACAAATCCCTCTCAGGGTTCAGTGAGACTCTGCAAAGGTGCAAAAGTACAAGTAGTCCTCAACATACAGTTCATTTAGTGACCCAATCAAAGTTACAACACTGAAAAAAGTGACTAACGACTATTTTTCAGAGTTATGATTGTTGTAGCATTCCCATGGTCAGGTGGTCAAAATTTGGATGTTTGGGAATTTATTTATATTTATGACAGTTGCAGTGTCCTGGGGTCATGTGATCACCTTTTGCGACAAGCAAAGTTAATGAGGAAGCCAGATTCACTTAACAACCTTAATAACAGCAGTGATTCACTGAACTGTGGCAAGAAAGGTCATACAATGGGGCAAAATTCACTTAACAGTTGTTTCACTTAGCAACAGAAATTTTGGGCTCAATTGTGGACGCAAGTCGAGGACTACTTGTATTGCAGATGAGTTACCACTCGGTAGAGTCCTGGGACAGATTTTTTGAACTGACAGCATGAGATGTCTTCCCTCATGTTGCTTATGTAGAAGTCTGTTCATCGTATCCGGGTCTTTTTAAGCATATTTGAAATAATCTCCTAACTCATCTATTGCATTAAAGCTGTCGAAAAATTATACTGCCATAAGCATGTGGACAGGCACACAGATGGGTGTGTGTGTGTGTGACTTAGTCAAAGGAATTCGGTGTCTGCTTCCCCCTGGTGTGACATGAAATTCATCTTTAACACCCCGTCGCTTTTCCATCCCAGATTAGAATGGATACAGAAAGTGATTGTATGCTAAGGGGTGAAACAGGTTTCGGATGCCTTGTTGTCTCCCGAGGTGTCCTTCCTCCCAAATTTTGTTGCGCTGATCTGTCGCTGCTTGATAGCACGGTCGGAGGTGTTTTAAAAGAGGTGCACATATTGTGATTGTTGTTGTTGTTGTTGTTGTTTTAATTTCAATCCAGCAACATCCCCTCCATTCAGCTCCAAGACAGACTGCAGCCAGTGGCTCTTCAAAAGGAGCCGAGCTTTTTATACCTTCGACCCAAGCCAGACACTCAACCAGTATTGGTAGCGGGTGGGGAAATGAAAGAAGCGTCGCCACAAATTGAAACTTTAAAAAAAAAAAAAAAGCAACCCTAAGATTCGACTCCGCCTTCTTAAAGGAGAAAGGCGTCGTAAGGAAAGGGGGGGGGAGGTACTCGGTAGTCACGTGCACAGCCGCCGCCAGCGAGAGTCTTTCCTAAAGCAACAGCCGCCAGCGCGTGCAGGCTGTTAGGCCTACGTCACCGTGCTGACGTAAAGAAGACATCCTCTGCTGGGCTCCGCGTAACTGAGCTAAAACAAAGGAAGGACTCCTCTGGTTGCTTGGGAGGAGGGGGGGGGCGGAGAGGAGGTGGAGCCGGAGGGCTTGCAAGGCGATTCAGACTGGCTTGGCAACGGCGATTGGTAAGCGAGGAAGTCAATAGGCGTGACGTCACTGTTCCTCGGCTGGCTGAGTGGTAGGTGGAAGGCTTTCCTTAGGGAGGGGGCGGGACCAGAGCATCATGGAGAGCGGCGGAGGTGGTGGGTTCTGGATGTTGGCGGCAATCGGGCAGGGGAAAGGTTCTGAGACCGTTGGTAGCGACGCGGTCGGGCGCTCACTGAGGGAGGCGGCGCGGTCGGGTTCTTTCTTGGGCTGGGCGGATGGAGTCGCACTGATTATCCGGGAAGCTATTGCAGGGGGTGGTGTGGCCGACCTGGGCCTACTGGTGCAAGCGGTGGCCGCCGCCCCCCGAACACAAGGAGACCCCTCACAGCTCCCGTAAGGTACCGGCGCCTGGAGGGGGAGGGGGAGACCCGGGTTTGGTTTCTCGCGCCCCTCCCCCCCCGCCCCTCTTCCTTTCCCGCGGATAACAAATTGCCTCCAGACCTGACAGGAAAAGGGGGGGGGAGGGTCTCGTCTAGGAGGAGCTCCTCGCACCACCCTGAGCGAAGCTTTCTCTTCCCTGTGGGATGTCGGGGTGCTCACGTTTATGATTGTTCCCTGAGGGGAAGCAGTAATGAAATGCAGGCTGCAGGCGACCAGTACTGTACCTGTTTTTTAAAAAAAAGATCACAGGAGGGCTGTGGAGGTGGTGTGGGAATGCATTGACACTCTCCACCCCACCCCCCCAACCTTTTGAATGGTTATAGGAATGTGCTGGGAGGTCTGTCCTTTGTGTCTCCCACCTACCCACCCTCCGCATCCCTGGATTTCCTCTTTCTTGGGAGAGGGCGGTTGCTGTGTTTTCTTGATACTGGTGTTAATATATATATCAGATGGGGGTGGAGAGAGAAGAAAGGCAAGCTCCTAACCGGTGGAACCTGAAATGAGGAAAGTGGAGGGTGTCAAGAAAGACCATAGTGGCTAATGGAAGATCCCTCATCCGTACCACCTTCTCCCCTTCAACATTTGTTTACTATAAATGATAGCTATTGGCCTTACTAAAAATAGGGGACAGGAAACATCACAGTGACTTCTTCTGAAAAAAAAGCTGATTTGGGATAGTTCATTGAATCACACTTTCTAATGTTTTGAGAGTTTGCTGCGTGTGATCTTACGTTCCATCTTTCCACGGGTGCTCGTCTGTTCTGAAAAAGGATATGTTTGCAGAAATGGATGTAATGCTTTGGTGGATCCAGGCGACTCTCTTTCCATCCCACACCGTTGCTATTGGATACTGTACAAAGAAGCAGCTATAGTGACCCATATGTGATATTGGGGGAATTAATACACTACAGTACTTTTATATTTGCTAACTTACAGTCCTGCCTTTTTAGTAGCAGTTTTAGTCAAGGTGCAAAAAGCATTCATGTGTTGTTCTTCTGAAATAGGTGGAGTGGACAGAGAGAAAACATTGGAAGGGAGAGGAAAAAGTATTCAGTGAAGAATGAAAAGAAAGGTTGGTGTGACAGGGGTGTAAGGAATTGTATGATGGTGTCTACATGGATTATGGAAAGGCTATACAATCTCTTTAATTGCATACTTACCAGTTTTCCTGAAGACACATTGCATACTTATATAAATATATAAAAGCTAAGTCTCTTTTGAAAAGCTAGTCATGAGTAGGTTAGGTAGCACCCCATGTAGGTGAGATCTCAAGGAATTGCATTTGAAATCACTATCTTTTCTGCCCTATGTTCACATTTGATATAAATTGTACTTTTTATTATTTTCTTACTAATGACAAAGGTCCATGATAGATATTATCTCAGTTATATACATTGCAACAGCTGTTTTTCAAAATGTTCTGAAGCATTGCCTGTTGTATTTTTGCAGGATGTGTTGTGGGTAATTTCATAAAATGGATACTGGGGAAATTGGTTCATTCACAAAATGGCTCTAATGGAGACATAATTAGCTCCCTCCCCCCCCCCACCTCACCACCCCGCCAAAAAAGTAGTTGCAGAACCCTTGTGGCTTTCTTATTCTATTATTTCTTCTGTGGTGCAATCATCCATTTTTATTTTCTAAGACAACTTGTACTGCCATATAGAAGGCAATATTTCTATATGACAACTACTATTTTAAGTTTTATTTTTCCTTAAAATCAAGAACACCATGATTTACCCAGGCAGGTACCTAAGTTCTCCTGCAATATATATTTATTGTTTGGAAAGTTCCTATACGTTCCTATGTATACAATGTTATATTGGTTGGTGATATATGAGATGCATAATAACAATGGCTATTTATAAACATTTATGAACTGTTCAGCTTCAAAGAAGCCATGAGTTGTATTCACTGGTATTCTTTCCTGTCTTTTACCTTCACTTGCAAATTCTCTGCAGGCCTAGCTGAACAGAATTTAAGCTCTCCTGAGAAGTTTAGAGAAGGGTGGGATGCAGGGAGGGGGGAGATTAGGTGCATCCATTTGTATAAGCGTTAGATACATCCTCCAAAGTTTGAAATTGTTCCTGTGGTTAGGGGTCTTCTCATCTATTAGGTATCATTAAACCTAATAATATAATTGCTTTGAATTAAGCTTTGTAGATAAGAAAGATTAGGGCAATGCTCTTTATAAATATTAAGTAACTGCCACTTTGGTATGGAAATATCCATTTTAGTATTTAAGCTTCTATATCAACACTGGAAGTTTTTAAGAAGAGACTGGACAACCATTTGTCTGAAATGGTATAGGGTTTCCTGCCTGAGCAGGGGGTTGGACTAGATGACCTCCAAGGTCCCTTCCAACTCTATCATCATCATCATCATCATAGCATAATGGTAAAACAGTAAATAACTTAATTTTGCTAAGGTTGTTAGAAGTAGAATAAAAAAAAATGTTGGAGCTAAATCATTGTATTTGGAGATTGGTTGAGTGTCATATAGAATTAAGATGATGGCTCTGAAAATACATCTAGGAAAGAGCCTAACTGTCCAATTTTGCTTTATAATAGCAGGCGTGTAATGATTCAAAACCTTTTTTTTTTAAATCAAGATATATTTGTTATGAAAAATTGAATAATCTGGTGCTGTACTATTTTTTTAAAATGTGCATATTAATAGGTATTGTAATTAGAACATTGGTTTACAATTAAATACTGCCTTAATACAAAGTATGTTCAATCTTCAAAGCACATGCCTCTGAAGTGTACTGTAGATATATTTACATAAAAATAAACTGGGGAATTCTGAATGCTTGCAATAAGCATAATCCTTTACTTGATGCCTGAATACTAGGAAATTCCAAAATAAAGCCATAATTATGTAAACTGGACAGTGGTTTGTCATAATACGAAAGTAAGAATTAAGCACAATAACAGTTTTATTATTTCCCTTTTGGGAATAAAACTCAGACTTTGCTCTCTCATTTTAAAATTTGTAATACTGAAACTTGATCAATATGTTTCAATCATCAATACAGTTTTCTTGATAGTAATAAATATTTATTGGTTAGTGTAGTTAGTGCTGTGCCTTGCATTTAAAAAGTGACCCAAGTTCAAATATTTTGAATGTTTCATGTAAAGGCAGTGGGAGCTTTTAAGAAATCCCTTGCTTTGTTTCTGGATCACAAAAGTACATGGGTTAATCCACTAGTAACCATCCAGAACTCAGAAAAAGTATCCACAGAGATTTTTTTTTAAAATAATTGAATTTACTACAGCAATTGAAGAAACAATTAGGTAAATGTTTGCAGTTTTCTCAAACGCAGAATTTACAACAACATAGCTAATAACTATCAATTTATTTTAGTAATCCAGCCCATAAACAGATTAATTTATTATTTTTAATATACTTTTTAAAATTAATATACTTTTTTGATTGGTGACTTCACAGATTTGAACACATTTTCACACTACACATTTTTTATATAATTGTGCTATCTACAAATCTGAAAAATAAAATAGAAAAACTAGTAAACTTGCAGCACATATTTTTTATATTTGGTAATTTACCTAGAAAGAAAATGAGACATAAACAGAACACATGTTCAACAATTTTATATTACAGCTGTTTACTGCTATCTTTCTGTTGCAAAGTATTTAAAAATAATAATAAATTTATTATTTATTATTAGTATTTGTATGCCTAGAATGAGTCTGAATTTTAGGATATATTCTTAACTGAAACATAAAAATATTGAGGAATTAGTTAACTCCAGAACTGAGAGATAAACTGACCAAATCCCATATTTATTGTATTCAGAATTTCAAGATTTTTATGTTGGAGGAGGATGTATAAAAATTGACAGAGATAGGAAAAGCAGAGGCATCTTAACAAAAAAAAAATCAGAAAACAAATGTTTCCTAACCCATCTTTAATTCTTTGTGTTACTGCTACCTTAAAAATAGTCTAGACCCAGAACTCTGGAGAGAAAGAAGCAGCTCCCAAACAGGAACACACATCTCAGCAGCTAAGACCAATTGCAAGTGAATGAAATATATTGTATGTTCAGCTCAGACTCTGAGAGGAATTTATTCCTTTTCAATCAAGGTCTCTCTTCACTCCTTTGATTAGCCCTGCTGGTTGAAACTGGATGGTTGCAGGCTTCCTGTGCCTACTGTAATGCATACAACCTCTTTGCAGCATAAATTGCATGTTTGGGGGAGTGGAGCAGAGAGAAAATTGGCACTGTCAAAGCTTTAAACTTTGTTGACAGTAAAATAATACATTTTTTTTCTTACGTGCTTGTTGTCATAATTTGACTTCCCCATCCATCTGTATTTATCATTTCTCAAGACTTAAAGGACCAGTTTTTCTTTACTTAACAAATATTAACTGCAGTGAATGAGAAGGGTAAAGAATACAAGAACCTTGGGAAGGTCAGCAGCTTGTGCACCCATGGTATGGGGATATAGAATCTAATTTATCTGGACCCCAGAGAAGTTACCATTTGAAATACATTAGGAAGTAAGATGGTTTGATGCAGTTGATAGATGGTTACTGCAACATTTTCATATATTTGTATTTATTTTTATTCTAAGAGTTAGTAATTTTCCACTCAGATCACATGGGTTACAATACTATACATAATAGTTACGACACATTATAAGAGATATAAGGGAGGTTTTCTGGTTTTCATGACTAGATTTTTAGCAACACCAGTTTGTACAGTATTGTACATAATGGAATAATACCAGAAGTATTAGTTTAAATTGCTTTGCTTAAGAAAATGAATAAGATATTTGGTTCAATTTTTTCCCCCAGAAACAGGAGCAGCAGCAAAAAAAAAAAAAAGACTGGAGAAGAGGGAAATTGGGGGAGAATACAATCTGAGAATGTAGTTAGATTTTCAAAGTTTTTTTTTTAATCAATCCATAGGTAGCATCGGATCATCCCTAGTACCACTTATTGTTGACTGTAGAATCGTAAAAGAGTAATTTCTAAATGCTTTATAATTGCAGGATTGTTGAAAAGTTCATAAAACCTGGAGAGAAATACTGCAAAAGATTAAATACTGCAACATTTTGTTTCATATTTTTGGAACATGCAGCATTATGCAGTACAGATAGTCCTTGACCTATGACCACAATGGAGCCCAAAATTTAAGTGAGTTGTGCCCTATTTTATCATCTTTTTGGGCCAAAGTTGTTAAACAAATCACGTGAATCATGTGGTTGTTAAGTGAATCTGACTTCCCCCCTTTGACTTTGCGTGTCGGAAGCAAACTGGGAAATTTACAAATGCCTATCACATGACCCTGGGATAGGGCATCTTTCTTAAATACATGCCAGTTATCAAGCGGCCAAATTTTGATCATGTGACCATAGAGATACTGCAATGGTCGTAAGTGTGAAAACTGATCAGAAGTCACTTTTTTCAGTGCCGTTATAACTTTGAACAGTCACTAAACGAATGGCTGTAAGTTGAGGACTACCTGTATTACATTATGATACTTGAAAAGATAATTAGTCCCCAGTCCTTTTAAAAAGAACAATAACAACAAAGTGAAGTGGAATAAATGTTAAAAATGATTGAAGCTTTAATTGAATGGGCTACGGCAACGTTAATGAAGGTTGGCTATTAGGTTGTATTTGTGCTACCAAGCATGATTTATTGACCATTTTAAATGATTCCCTTTGAAGCTCCATTGCTCATGTAATGTGCCTGTAATATGTCAACAATACATGTCTTTAAAAGCTTTGTTATGAAAGAACAAAATACACTTTTCTTTTCCAACCACACTGGACACAATAAACTCCTTTCCTGTTATACCGTTAGCTCAAGAACACTTATGCAGAACTTGGATGTACTCTGGATGTTTGGACTTCAACTCCCAGAGTTCACAGCAGGTGGCCTTGCTTTCTCAGGAGTTGAACTGTATTTAGGTAGGAAAGGCTGCTCAAAAATATTGCTGTTTTCTTGTTAAGAATAAAAAAAAATGTGATAAGATCATTTATCAATACTTGATAATGTTTACATTTATTTTCTAATTATTTTCAAGTTTCTGTTAGTGTCCTTGAGCAGGGAAATGAAACAAATGCTCCAGTTCACTTCTACAGGTAGCTCTTAACTTACAACAGTCCACTTAGTGACCGTTTGAAGTTACAACGGCACTGAAAAAAGTGACTTATGACCATTTTTTACATTTACAACCGTTGCAGCATCCCCATGGTCAAAATGATCAATATTCAGATGCTTGGCAACTGATTCATATTTATGACCGTTGCTGTGTCCCATGTGATCCCCTTTTGTGACCTTCTGACAAGTAAAAATGGGGAAGCCAGTTTCATTTAACCGTGTTACTAACTTAACAACTGCAGTGATTCACTTAACCACTGTTGCAAGAAATGTTCTAAAATGGGGCAAAACTCAACAATAAAAATGTTGGGTTCAGTTGTGGTTGTAAATCGAGGACTACCTGTACTTCATCAATAATAATGTGCTATATAAATTTCTGTGAAGAATTGGATATTTTATATATGTATATATTTGGAGGACTTTTAGTCATAGAGGTCTTGTGTGGGTACAGTCATGCTAGAAAATAATCTATTTGTTTGTTCTCTTTTCCATCACACTTATCTGGTGACCCACCAAATAGCTAATCCTCTTCTGCCATATGATGAGACGTGCCCTTGAAGAGTACCTGTTTACTTTCTGTTTTTAATTCTTGGGCTGCTGAATCTTTATTTTATATAAGATGTTTTGGAAGACTAGCTGGTTTAAGTGCCACGGTGATGCTATGTGGTTCACTGTGGTTCATTATAGTTCAACAATAGTCTGTTAGTTGTTGCCGAGATGGTTATGATGTATGGTAATTTTGTCCTTTTCATAGCTTGTATTGATTATGCTGTATAGAATTGAGTGGTTAGGTACAAACATCATCTTCAGCATACAACGTGAGGACTAACAATCACTATATAGGACAGACAGACAGAAGGCTAGCAGATCGCATCCATGAATACCAACTAACAGTCAGAAGACACAATGAAAACTCTTTACTCTCACAACAGATGATCAGACTCAACCATAGTTTCAACTAGGAAACTGAGAATTCTAGAACAAGCCAAATCCAAGAATGCTGAAGAATTCCTGGAAGCTTGGTTTTCAGACAAATTAGCCCTCAACAGGTATATAGGCACGTTAACACACATTCAAAAGGAACACTAAAAAAAGAAACAAAAAGAATCAAGGGTGGGGCTTCCTCCCATATAAACAAGGAGAACACCCCACATTCACTAATCAGTAAGTTACCTAGTCGAGGAGTGAAGAGTTTGCAAATAAACACCCAAGCTCAAAAAGCACCAAGGACACCACAGTTCAACCCTGAGCTACATATATTCTTTTCTGTAAGAGCTTGGGACTAAAACATTGAACACTGACAATTAGCAATTTCTGTTCAATCTTTGTCATTGTTTAGATAGCTATTTTACCAAACCTGTTATGCCTGGGTGCATGTATTTGATTTGATTAATACACTTGACCACAGTTCCAACTATGCAGACTTACAGGTGTTTAAAATTATTGCCATTACATTTTAGAATGGCACAAAATAAGCCAGTTAATATTCAAGATGAGAAAAGGGGAAGTGATAATGTGTTTTTGTTGATGTATTTTCTGATGGTATAACTATTTTTGTATGTATTAAACTTTTGAGCAAATTAATTGACTTGGAACATTGGCAGTGTCTTTGTTAACAAAATATTATCTTGACCAAGTTCATTAGTGTTTAGGGAACTGCTGAAATTGAGATACCAGTGAGAGATAAGCAGGACAGTATGTGCAGTATTGGTTGAATATTTATACTTTGAAGAGTTGAAAAGCAAGATATAAATTGCAGAATCGTTGTGCATTTTTCTGCAAAGCTTTTTCTGAGGCACTCTAGGTTCATTTTTTTGGTCATTTTCACCCTCACCCTTTCCTTTGTATTTCTTTCAGTTTTATAATGTCATAATATACTCATTCTCTGCTGGTGTCCAGTATCTCCCCCTTTTTAAGGGGTACTTTTCCAGTACACATAATAGTCATGACACATTATAAGAGATGTACTGGGATTGCAATTTTCGGTAAAACAGGCACTACCTAGGTCAGGTAAGAACTAGGGAAGTCAAGCGGTTCAAAGCAGGTGTGCACACACCATATCTGTTGGTGCTCTTTAAAGAAAGTGCTTCCTAGGATTCATATGCATTTGGCTTAAGGAGGTACTAAGAGTGTATCCATATCTGTTCCAGAACACTTTGTCACTTTAGTCCTTATCTGAAAGTTCATTTGTACTGTATTAGCAAGAAAATATGTAAGTGATACATTGGAGTTACCATACAAGGCCAAAGCCTGTCTAACATAACAAACTGTATATTAATAAGTAGTGAGGGCATATGTTGAACTGGAACTCCATCTGGCTGCAGTTTCTTCAATAATTTACATTTCTAGAGCATATTGACATGAAATTAATGTTTATGTACACGTTTTTTGTTTTTAAAAAATAAGCAAACAGTGACTGCTATCTTAGAGAACAAAGATTAAGCTTTATTCTACCACAGCAGATCTTTCTAAAATTGTTGCCCTTGTAACCATTTTTTTTTTTTTGCACAATTAGAAAACAAATAATCCCTGCATGAGAAAAAAAAATTATTGGGGGTGTATCATTATTCTTTCAGTGATCAAACATAAGTAGTCAATAAAACTCTTAAGTTATGGTAAAGGTTGTCCAACTTAGAATACATTTTATAGAATATATTGGGGTTGCATGTAAAGATGATGGATTCACATAAATGTGTTTTGTACTATAATGTTCATCTTATCTTACGTTTCTGCATTTCATTTTATCTTATACTGTTTTATCTCACTCTATTTTTCTTTATCATACCTTACTATATTTTATTTTACCTTAGTTTATTTTATCTTATTTTGCTATATCTTACCTTATTTCATCTTAATGTATGTTATTGTGACTGATGTCCATTGCTTTGATATGGTCAATTCATTAATCTGTAAAGTTATACTACCATTATTACATTATTTTAATAATAATATGCAGCTAAACAATTTTTGTGATTTTTTTATCAGAATCAATTTCCTGAAGTAATGCCTTACTTATTAATTCTGAGATACCCGTTGTGAATGCATTCATTTTACTGTTACACAGAGCGAAGATAGTCCAAGTCCCAAAAGACAGCGCCTTTCTCATTCAGTCTTTGACTACGCAGCATCATCACCAGCCCCATCACCACCAATGCGACCATGGGAGATGACATCAAATAGGCAGCCTCCTTCAGCTCGACCAAGCCAACATCACTTCTCAGGGGAACGATGCAACACACCTGCGCGCAACAGAAGGAGGTCAGCTTTTTTTGAGGACAATTATATTGATTTAGAAAGTAGTTTTTGAAGCATCAAATTTATGAGTATTAGGTTTGTGTATAATAAAGAATCACTCCAGAGTTTAAAGCTATGGAGTCTTAATTTTATGAAACTCATGAAGCCTATGCCAGATATATGGAATTTTATATCACAGAGAAGTGAACTGTATCCTACAGCAGAGTTCCCTAACCTTTCCAGCTTTGCGGGCTGGCGGGAGGCATGTGCGCAAGTGGCGGGCATGTGCGCAAGTGGCGGGCATGCTCACCCATTGCTTGCGCAAGTGGCAATGTGCACGTGTGCCCGCCACTTCCGCATTCTGGTTCCAAATGGCTCAAGGGTTGGGGATCCCTGTCCTACAGTCTTAATTAGCTTCTGTACAAGTTTATTGAAGAGATGCTTCTTATATTAGTAAATTGTAATATTTGATTGTCCAAAATATGTAGTTATTAGCTTAAATATTGTTGTTCTAGTACATTTTCATCCAAAGATACCAGAATTGACATCCAAGTGTTAACCTTCTTGTCTCTCCTCTATTCTTTCATCACAACTGTGAGGGAAGTTTAGCTGAGAACATGTGAGTAGGCTAAGGTCAGTCAGCCATGACTTTTGTTTTAAAATTATTGTAAAATATAGAATAACACTCTGAAGTCAGATATAATATATCAGTCTATTCTTAATTTATTCTTACTTTATGCTTATTGGAAGGAATCATGTAGCTTAGTACGGCTCAGATCATCTTATTTCTGAAAAAGCATATCTTTGCAACTTTTGCTAGAAAGTTAGTATTCTTATTGGAATACCAATTATCAAGAAAAAGGTATTTTGTTACCTCCACATATTTTCTTTATGTTTCTATTACATGCTTCTTCCAGGGAACACAAGATACAATATATATATTATATTTTCTTATCACAATCCAATGAGGACATTTTGGCTGAAAATTAAAGCTGTTTTCCCCCCAAAATAACATATGAATGAGAAAGGAATTGAATGTAGAACTATATAATTGAACTGTGCCATTCTTTTAATATGCAACATCATGATTTGCTAGATTCATTTAAATTATTTATTAATATTCACTCAGATAATTTTTAACTTTTTGCCTCCATCATATCAGCTTTCCTTGAGCTTAATCACTTGTTGTATGTCTTTTCTAAAGTTTTCTCAGAAAAGTCCCCACAATCTGTTTGTCATTGTTGTATAAATGAATTCAGAAGTTTTGAATATTTTCAGATTAGTAATACGTTTGTATTCCTCTTTCCATATTTGTTTTCTCTTCTACTCGGTCACACTGTAGAAGGCAGAGATTTTGTAAGAATCTCTCTTATGTATTTGTATTGTAGAGTGTAAAGGAGATGACGGCATTTCTTGGTACTCAAATGCTTGCCAACTGGCAGTATTCATCACAGAACCAGTTGTCTGGCCTCTGACCCATCTGCTAAGTTCAGCTTGACCTTCACTCTTGCTACTAAGTTATCTGAGAAAGAAAAAGACCACCTGGCAATTTTGATCCGATTGTTCTGATTATGTTATATTATATTATTTTTGCCCCAGAAGAAAATAAAAATACATTCAGATTTTCATGGTGAGAGAAATGTGTGAATACAGGAATAAAAGCATGCATCCATAGTATGTAGTTAGTTTATAAATAGAAATTACCATAGCTGTTCAAAGTATAAAACTTGTCCCATTTGATTATTTATAGCCCTCCTGTTAGACGCCAGAGAGCAAGGAGAGATCGACTGTCTCGACATAATTCCATTAGTCAAGATGAAAACTACCATCTTCCTTATGGACAGCAACAAGCAATAGAAGAACCACGAGCCTTTCACCCACCAAATGTGTCTCCCCGTATGTTACACCCAGCTGCTCATCCACCACAGCAGAATGCAGTCATGGTTGACATCCATGAACAGGTATGGGTAAAGATAGAAAAATATTCTCCAAATTTCTTCTGACTGATAACTTCTTTTATTGTTAATATTTCCAATTACCTGGGTATATTGGGACGCCCATCATTCCGTATGAATCACTCTTGTTTGCGCCGGTGTCTGTGCTGAATAACTGTGTGTCTGCATTAAAGCCAGCTGATTTAACAAGGTAGTCACATTTAGGTTCGCCAGAAGGTGGATTAGGGTCTACTACTTAATCTTTGATCCGGCAGTGAATCAGCAAGGATTCCAGAGCCACAGTTATACAAAAAATAATGACAATTGGCAGAATGTTCCTAATGTTGGGGTGTGAGTATTCTACACTTGTGCACTTCAACTATTTCAAATAATTCAAACGAAGGCAGAATAATGTCTGTCTGTTCTTTTCTGTTACTAAATTGTTTCTATCCTTTTGCACATAATAGTCCTCAACATACAGTCATAATTGGGACCAGAAGGAAGTTAGCATGGTTATTAAGTAAATCGCTAATTATTAAGTGACTCATGTGGTTGTTAAGTGAATCCACCTTCCACCATTGACTTTGCTTGGCAAAAGTTGGCTGCAAATGACAGTGGGTTCGCCCTATGACCACCACATTCGCACATTTTTTTGCACGACTGGTGCAAAAAAAAGATTCTAAAATCAGGCACAGTTACCTAATTATCCACTTTAACAACCAACATGACTTACAGCTGTAATTCTGGGTCTCAATTACAGTCATAAATGAGCAAACACATTACCCATTTATCTGCATTCACCCATTTAGGTTAACCCCCTCAGAATCTCTTCCCCTTGTAAGGTTTACGGGTCTTAGATGGGGAATATGTTATCCATTAGGTTTTGAAGGCACCTTTCCATCTTGTGCCCTGGAAGATGTGAAAACCTTTCTTTTCTAATCAGCTTTTGGTTTGCTTGATTGATGCGTGTGTGTGTGTGTGTGTGCATTTAATTGAACCTTGTTTTACTACTTGTATTATCTTGGTTGAGTCTTACTTTATTGTATACTGCCCAGAATTGTAAAATTGGGGTGGTTAAAAGCTCTGTTAAACAAACAATCCTCTCTAAGCTTGAACCATTCTGTAATATTATAACGGCTGTATTTCTACAGAAAATTATAGGGGCTCCTGTGTTGCTGAAGTGTATTCCACTAGACAGATGCAAGGCTATTGGTTTATTTAATCTGAATCTGATATTTCTGTTCAAGGTTCAGCTCCACGTATGATCAGAAAATTAACCATGCAGTTTAAGAGTTACAAGTGAGGACACTGGGCATGTGTCCATTGTGTTAATGCATGTTTTCTATGTCTGGATGTAAGGTAAAAGGGATTCTTGCAATGCCGGGGAGTAAAAGAATCCATCTTTTAGATGTGGCTGTCGGTTGCCTTGAGGCAATTAAAAAGAGATAGGTTTTGTTCTTTATTATGAAAAGATATTTTCTGAAATATTCGACTGCTGTCAAATAGATAACTAAGTTGATAATAGCTGGCAGGTGATTCTCAAATCACCTAAAATGATTTTGTGGAAAACCATAATCCCAATGAGTTCAGAGTTTCCTGTTATTTTAGTCCTTGTATATTGATACTGATTCTCATTGTTCTTAGATTCACCAGGGCACAGTCCCTGTTTCATATACAGTGACCACAGTAGCACCACATGGGATCCCACTTTGCACAGGTCAGCACATACCAGCTTGCAATACACAGCAGGTCCCAGGGTGTTCTGTGGTTTTCAGTGGGCAGCACCTCCCTGTCTGCAGTGTGCCTCCTCCAGTAAGTAGTAGTTTAATTTTAATTTTGAAATAGATACTGAAAATAATTGGAAGAGCAGACAGCTTTAAAGGAATGTATTTATACCTGAATTATATGGCTATCTATAAATATAAATAACTGGCATTTATTTTTAGAGATATTTAGCTTGCATGTTAAAAAGTTAAGTTTCTGGGTGACAGTGCATGAACATGTATTTAAATAACTGTTAAACTGTTAGGTTTATTTCACAAACTTAATTACTCAAAGAGTAGAATATTGGCTTTGTTCCCCTTGATATCTTTGAACATTATTTCCATAAAATAGATTGTGTGCAAAATCTGAAAATACCTATTTTATCCTACTATTAATAATAATTTTTGTAGTAGCTACCCCACCGTTCCTTTTATGTTTATTCAAGGTGGCCAACATTCCTAATAATCCTGTTTTCCTTACATCATTCTTGTGAGGTGGGTTGGGCTGACAGAAAGTGACTGACCCAAAATCACACAGCCAGCTTCCATGTCTAAGGAGGGCTTTAGTTACTATTTTTAACAACTTTGGCTCCAAGAATTCTTTCAAAACTGTTATTTTAAAGTTCAAATGAAATGCCTTTCCTATATTTGACATTCCAGGTAGATTTTGGATAAATTCTCCTCCCTTTCTCAGCTGCTACTACTATGAAATATTGGTTACTTTGAATAGTTAATAATCTAATTGGATAAAATATATCAGTGCATATTTATTGAAATTGACTTACTAACATGGTAGCTCAATGACCATAAAAGAGCTTATAGAACATTGCATGTCAAAACAACTTGACACAAAGATAGCTTTTCCCCCCATGTCATTACTCTGCTGAACACTTAATTCTCACAACACTGTCCCATTTCTAATCTTTTCTCATCTTCTCTACTATCTTCTCCTGTTGGTTTCTTATGATTTATCAATTGTTGTTTGTTGCTTATGATTGATGATTGGAACTATGATTTATGACCTGTGACCTATTACTTGCTGTTTATGTGTACACTGCTTATGCACCGGAGATAAATTCCTTGTATGTCTGATCACATTTTGGCCAATAAAGAATTCTATTCTATTCTATTCTATTGTAAATGAGTCTTACACTAATACCTACAATTCCTACAGAAGTGACTTAACATTGCTTAAACTTGATTTAAGGTTCAAATAATAGCATTGTAATAAATTTTCCTTTAATTACTAAACTCTTGGAGTTTGCATAGTTTGTAATTATGTAATTGTTTATTTTCTAAATTATTCAAGATTATTTAATTCCCTAGAAAAGATTAATTTTGCCATGCCAATAAGTTATTTCTTCTTAATTTGCATAATTAATGTTGCTTTCATTAATAAAAGGGTGATAATCTATACTGTTGCAATAGTATTTGTTTTGTAAATCTTTATTTTATCTTATTCCTGTATAAACATAAGCATCCAAACACTGTATGTTACATACCTTTGTGTATGTTTTATCTTCTGCAGATGCTTCAAGCTTGTTCTGTTCAACACTTGCCGGTTCCATATGCAGCGTTCCCACCCCTCATTTCTAGTGATCCATTTCTCTTACATCCTCCACACCTCTCCCCACACCATGCTCCACATTTGCCACCTCCAGGCCAGTTTGTTCCTTTTCAAACACAGCAATCACGATCGGTAGGTGTTCCTTTTTTTTTTTTTTAATCTATTAATGAATTTTGGAATACTCTATTTAAGGTATTATGTTTCGATGACTGGCTGCCAAAGATTGTTCCACTATTAAATTGAGAAATTCCATGAGTAAATTCTCGTTTAGCAACTGTGATATGCAAAAACCAATCTAACTTTAATCATTTTGATTCCAAGATTGATAGAGGAACAGTATTAAAAATGGATTTTTAAGTTTGCATTGTGGCACTGGGTTTCCTATCGGAATGTGGAAAGAATAAATCAAAGCTGCTATTCTGTATGAATTACCACTGGGGGTTCAGTTTTGAATTTAGGTGCAGTTTCAAATTTAAGAATATAGCTCTGCTTCAGTAAAATCTCTTTACATCTCGTTATTCACACGGGGATTTTTTTTTTTAAAAAAAAGCTTAAATATATTTTTTAGTCTCACTGTAATAGTGAAACATCTAGTGTTTTTCAGAAATGTTCAGACCAAGATTCAAAAGGCTCTTCAGAGGCAGGGATCCAAAACTGATTTGCTAACAATGGCTAGCAAATGAAGCCCATTGTTATTAAGATGCTAGGTTGGCCTATGCCAAGAAGGCTGTTAATTTGGCAGTATGATATGTAATCACCTGGTCATCTTTATTTTAGTTTTTCATGCTGCTGCCCAGAAAAAAATTGTGATTTTTCTAACTTAGACTACAGTGGTAGTTCATGTAACATTTTTTCCTGAAAAAGAATCAGGCAAACTTATGGTTTGCATATGTTCTCCTGGCACCTCATCCTAGAAAATGCTGAGATTAAACTTGAAATTTAGTGTTAGCTTGGCTATTTCTTGATGTGAAAATGCTCAGAGAAGAATGGAGCTACGCATACAAGCCAAAAGTACTTAATCTTCCACGTCCCACAGAACCTCAAAACCACAAAAATGTGGTTTTATGCCCATCAGTTTAAAGGTTCAACCTGCAAAACATTCCCCTTGTTCTTTTCTAAAAACACCTTTTTAAAGTGCTTTGCTTTGTTGAAGGTTTGATTAAACATTCTTTGGAGCCATCTTGCAAAACAGTGCAGTCCAGGAAAGTCATCACAACCATGTTATTTTACTTCGTCCTGTTTCATAGCTCCTCCTCAGCACAACAGCCACACAGCAGTTTCTTCTGGCTTCAGCAGATACTGGTGGAGAATGTTTAGAATTGCTGTGAGGTAATGCTGTTCTCTGTTTTCTCCAGCAGTATTCTCAAGAGCCAAAAGTCTCCACTAAAAATGTTTTGCTTAGCCTTCTCCAAGAGAACTACCCAGGCGTATCAATGTTCTGCAACAGTCTTTGGCCAAGTTTGGGAAAAGAAATTGAAAGCCTTGTTGTTGTTGTTGTTGTTGTACAATACTAGAAATAAGTTGTGCCATATATACTGTGTAATAAGGTAGCAACCATGATAAAACAGACCGCAAATTAATTAACATATGATAGTGATTCGCATCATAATGAATGCTTTAAATTAGTAAGATTAATTTGAAGCAATACATTCTGTGTCTTCAGCTCTGCTCTGAAAACAGTATAAATGTGCACTGACCATTTGTTTAATTAGCCAACTACCCATATATTTAAAACGGGTGTCAAAGTCCTGGCCCGCGGGCCAGACGTGTCACCAGGAAACCGCACCCACCCCATTGCTGGCAATGGGGGAAAAGCTCCAATACGTCGCGTGATGTCACATGACGTCGCGAGTTTGACATGTCTGATTTAAAATGTTAAATATAATACGATGTTTCTATTTTCTTTTGCCTTAGCCTCTCCAAAGGATAGAAAATGAAGTAGAGTTACTTGGAGATCATCTTCCCGTAGGAGGTTTTACCACCTATCCACCTTCAGCCCATCCACCAACATTGCCTCCCTCAGCTCCCCTTCAGTTCCTAGCACATGACCCTTTACATCAAGAGATGTCATTTGGAGTAGTAAGTGATGTTTTGGAAAATACTGACATGAGTTCTTACATATTTGTCAAAAACATTTCGTTTTAGCTTTTTAATGCACAATTTCTGAACATATTTATTCAATTTCCAACAGCTGCCCATCTCAGTCAATGACTCTGGGCACTCACCGTTAAAAAAAAGCACTACAATTAAAACAATAAAATATTTTTAACACAAAAACTATATTAAAAAATCCAAAACACATACACACAACAGCCAAGATACTTGGCCAGTTAAAAATAAAGCCAGGAAATGGAGTCCTTAGCACATTTGGCACCCCAAGCTTGGGAACACAGCCAGATGTTTAGAGCTTTATGAAAGGTTTGGGCCATTCTAATCTTCAGGGGGAGGATATTTCACAGAGCTCGGGCTAGCAATAGCACTTAGACTTATATACTGCTTCATAGCGCTTTACAGCCCTTTCTAAACGGTTTACACAGCATATTGTGTAAACCGCTTGTGTAAATCAAGGTCCTCATTTTACCGACCTCAGAAGGATGGAAGGCTGAACATAAACTAATGTGTCCTAAGTCGATTAAACTAGCCTTGTGTTCAATAGATTTAAGATACATTATTCAGTTAAATGAAATAATTCCTTTTTTATAAAGTAAGGAGCCAAATTGTGGAGTTATAAGAAAAAAACATAGTGATAAAAAAAATCTTGGACATTATTAACACCTTTTTTTAGTGCCGTATATGACTGATTCCATTTGATAACTTACCTTACTTTTAAAATACTTTTCTTTATTTCTTTTAGCCTTATCCACCCTTTATGCCTCGAAGACTCACAGGGCGCAGTCGATACCGATCTCAGCAACCAATTCCGCCTCCTCCTTACCATCCCAGCCTATTGCCATATGTGCTGTAAGCGTGACATCTTTTTTTTTGGGGGGGGGGTATGAATTTAAGGTGGATAATGCCTTTTTGCTATAAGGCCAGGCATAGGTAGTCTTTAACTACAACCATTTGTTAAGCCATTGTTTGAAATTACAAAGGCATTAAATGAATGGTGGTCATGACCAGTCCTTCCCGCATCCTCATGCACATACCCAATTAAAAATAAGAAAAAAATGCTGCTGCTTTTCCAAGTATTCTGGGCATGCCAGAGAAAGAGAGGAGATTGGTAAATACAAAAAAAAAAATGGCTGGCAAGTAAACCAAACTAATTTGATATAGGAACCCTTTATGTGAAATACATAATCTGCTACTTGATTATGTGGCGACATTACAGGTGGTCTTCAACTTACAACAGTTCATGTGGAGCGACTATTCAAAGTTACAACAACACTGAAAAAAAGTGACTTATGACCGTTTTTCGCACTTACAACCATTGCAGCATGGTCAAAATGATCATAATTCAGATGCTTGGCAACTGAGTCATATTTATGACGGTTGCCGTGTCCCGGGGTCATGTGATCGCTTTTTGCGACCTTCTGAAAAGCAAAGTCAACGGGAAAGCTACATTCACTTAACGACCATGTTACTGAATTAACAGCTGAAATAATTCACTTTCTTGGCAGGAAAAGTCGTAAAATGGGGCAAAACACACTTAAAAATTGTCTCACTTAACAGCAGAAATTTTGGGCTCATTTGTGATCGTACGTTGAGGACTACCTGTATATGTTTTAGAGCAGTTTTTGGCTTTAAACAATACTTTCCTTCTACTCCCTAGTTTCTATTAATTGAGGACGTAGGAGTTGTCCACGCCCACTGCTGTTGAGTGTAGAAATGGTTGTAGTGGGTAATAATTTTTCCAATGGAGTAAGCTTTTATTCTAAGCTTTTAATTCTTTATTTTTGTGCATTGTGTTTTTTTACTGTAATTTTAACAATTTAACAATAATTTCTAGGAACAGGTGGGAAAGTATTTTATTTCTGGAATAATAATAAGCCTATCCCTCTTTCATAGATCAATGCTTCCTGTGCCACCTGCCATTGGGCCAGCATTCAGTTTTGAGCTGGATGTAGAAGATGGTGAAGTAGAAAACTATGAGGTTCGTTAGCAATAAATAAGCATGTGAAGTATAGTCATGAGGATTTAATTAGTTTTTTTTTTTTAAATCTTAAGGTGTTAGATTAGTTGTAATTGCTGCTGGAGGGCAGTTTACACAATATTAATTTTTACCTTATTATCAGCCAACTCTCCTTCACACTGGCCAGAAGTCTGAGTGATTGTACTGTGAGGGAGGGAAAGTCTAAAATTGTGTGGAAGAATCTCATAGAGCATATTAACAATTCTTGTTATATATAATACCTTTGAAGCACCATCCCCTTTCATGCCACTGTTTTTAGAGGAGATTTTTGAAAAATGCATCCTTGGATGAAAACCATAAACTTGTGAACTTCTTTGTTTGCAATGGAAAAATATATTAATTCCATAAAGCTAGCTAAAGAGTAAGAATATATTTACACAAATGGATTTCTAAGATCTGTTCATTTTGAATTTAACAGCCAAGTAATAATTGTTTACCTTATATGTATATATCTACATATTGTATATCCTTCAGATAATTTTGGTTTTGCATAGCATATGGATTGTATATTCTGGTTTCTTCTTCACTACAAACTAGTAGTGATATGAAAAGACAAGAGTTGAACTGAAGAATTATTTCTCTCACAGGCACTGCTGAACTTGGCAGAAAGACTGGGTGAAGCTAAACCAAGAGGATTAACAAAAGCAGATATAGAACAACTTCCGTCTTACAGGTTCAACCCAAATAACCATCAATCAGAACAGACTTTGTAAGTTTTTCATACTTTCATTCAACTTTTAGTATGAAGGCATATTATCTTGCTGCTGGAGGTGAAAAAAAAGCACTTGCGCTTCTCCCCCCCCCCCCTCTCTGTCTGTCTGTGTAAAAAAGAGAGTGGTCTCACACTGTTCTCCAACGAGCTGACAAGCTTATTGGGCGGGGCTCCTGCCTTGGCTGCGTCTCTGCAGGAAGCAGGAAGGGCAGGAGAGAGCCAGCCCAATAAGAATGTGTGTCAGCTTGTTGGAGAACAGTATGAAGCCAGCTTGCCAGGTGAGCAGAAGATTGGAGAGAGGGAAAGAGAGGGGGGAGAGAGAGAGAGAGAAAGAGAAAGGGGGGAAGAGAGAGGGAGAGAAAGAGAGGAAGATGGGGGGAGAGAGAGAGGGAGAGAAAGAGAGGGAGAGGAAAGAGAGAAAGGGGGAGAGAGAAAAAGGGAGAGGAAAGAGGGAGAGGGGGGAAAGAGAGAGAGAGAGAGAACTCATGCACAGCACCCTCTATTTCTTTTTAATTAAACTCTTCAATCAAGCTTCCCCTCCGGCGCGCGCACAAGTTTTGCGGCTCCCATAATTTTCTTTTCTGTGGGAAATGGGCCCAAGTGGCTCTTTGAGTGTTTATGGTTGCCGATCCCTGATCTATATCAAATAAATAGAGTTAACCCACTGCTTACCTTCAGTTCTATTTTTACCTACTTGAGGATTGCTGAGGTAATGTATGTGAAATGCTTTACAGTCCAAGCAGTATAATAAGAACTAGAAATGTGTAAAACATTTCTTGCACAAGTTGTTTCATGCACTAACTGTTTTGTATGCAGAACTGCTGGATTTGGGTGCTCTGTGCCCACACTACAACATGCTGGTTGCTTTGTTTCAGGCACGGCACACAAAGGGACTGTTTTGATACAGGCACAGTTGTTTCCCAGAAGGAAGGGAGCAGGAAAAAAGCCAATGAGATTGAGGGCTGGCATGTCAGGGGGATACTGTATGCCGTACTGGAATATCACAAGTGATGGGGAGAGAAGGAAGGAGCTGAGAAGATCAAGGGTGGGTGGATTATTAGGAAGTTGCCACTCTGGGAGTCACTGATGGAAATGGGGAGAGTTTCTTGCCTGTTTAAATTTTGTTTCATCCAAACCCTGAAACAACAAAGGGATTCCAGGTTTGGGTTCTATGGAATGGAGTTTGATCCATATTCCAGAATGCAGTGGTTTATTCTAAGTTGGAAATAGAACATTTTTCCCATTTCATGCAGGCCTGCATAAATGACCAATCCTAATAGGTGGTATTCTTTGCTCATAATTGATACTGAACTGTATTTTTGGAGTCTAAATTTAAAACAAAATCTGACACTGATTCATAAACATGCACTGAAAAGTATGGCTTCATATTTTAAACTGCATAGAAAGCAACTTTAGCTTTTGAAGTCAAAACTTGTTAAATATAATTGTTACTTTTGTTGAGTAAGCTATCTTGCAATGTTCTTTTTTAGGTGTGTAGTATGCATGTGTGACTTTGAGTCAAGGCAACTGCTTAGAGTTTTACCATGTAACCATGAGTTCCATGCCAAGTGTGTCGACAAATGGCTTAAGGTAATGTTATTTTTAGAAAGAAAGTTGTTTTAATCATGTCCATATATTGCACGCAGTAACTTTGCAATAGTCTGGCAAGTTCAGAAGCGTACTTGATGCTTGGAGCAGTAGTTATCAAACTGTAAGAATAAAATTTCTTTCTTTAAGATGGGTCTTCTTGTTGAAGACTAGAAAGTGTTCTAATCTTTCCCAAAACAATGTTTTAAAAATGTCATTAAATATTTTTTAAAATGTATGTTTTAAGTTTAGCTGGTACTGCCAGAAATAGATGTAAGCCCTTCTGCAAAAGAGGAAATTAGACATTTCAGATAATGTCTTAAGTTCTATTGTATCATTACAATGGTAAATTCCAAAGAATCAGAATACAAAAACCTAATGTTTTGCATAGACAAAGTTATTAAGTTTTAATTTCAATGGCCTGTAAAAAGGCATGTGTATGAAAAAAAATTGGACGAATTCTTAAATAGAATTATGTGTCACCATTCATCCTATTGAAATTATGCAAGGACAGAGATTTACAGTATTATCTAAGTTGGTATCATCACTAATGTACATTGCAGTTATTATGTATTCAATTTATGTATTATGAATACATAAAAGAGAAAAAAGATTACCTTCAGTCTGCTGTACGCAGAACTTACCGTTGTTACATCATTTTTATATTGTGTATTTATGCATTCATTCATTGTGCATCCCTCATCTCACCTAAGTAATTCTGGGCAACTTACAATAAACAAAAAAACATAGTATAAAAACATTAATAAAAACAAAGTTAGAAACATATTTAAAAGGCAGGATTATAGTATTAAAAGTTAACAAGTTAAGGTAGAGAGAACCCCCCTCATGACACCAACCATTCCCAGAGTTGCATATTTTGACCCCAATGCCAGTTGGCAGAGCCAAGTCTTAACACTGTTCCTGAAGGGGGGAACATCTCACCTCTAGGGGTAAGGTATTCTAAAGGGCAGCAGCAACAGCAGAGGAAACTTTCACTGGAATCCACTAGCTGAAATTCTTTAACCAATGGGATCGTAATATACCCTCCCTGCCTGACTGGAATGGGTCAGGACAGCACAGTTGGGGTGAGACAATTCCTCAGATAACTTGGTCCATGCCATGAAGGGCTTTAAAGATGATAACCAACACCTTGAATTGAACCCAGAAAAAAACTGACATGCAAGCTTGCATAGCAGAGGTGTTATGTGTGCAAGCCTAGGGCTGCCCAAGACTGCTTGCACTCTTCAAATTTTGAAGCCCCTTTGTACCGTGTTTTATATGATTGGTTTATAAATGTTGAAATATTAGAGGGAATATTATAGAAATTTGGTTACTAAGGATTTGCATTTGTGCCATGCATATTATTCAGTTTTCACTAAGGCTGTCTGTTTTTGAATACTTTTTGCTTTGTTTTCTGATGCTTTTTTGTTTTATTTTCTGATTTTAGGGAAGTAAACAAAATAAATTGCACAAGCTCAGGTTTTCAGTGCTCAACAAGACAGTATCAGGCTTTCTTCTTGCATAGTATCCATGTATCTTTTGTGATCTACACATACATGCAAGCGCATACCCTGAAAACCTCGGTGATTGTCTTCCCCTTCTGACACCATAGAACCGTGGTGGTGAACCTATGGCACGCGTGCCACAGGTGGCACGCAGAGCCCTCTCTTTGGGCACGCGCGCCATCGCCCAAGTCCTAGGCGTTCAGCTGGGTTTTATAAAACCTTTTCGCTTTAGGCCTCCACCGCTGTATGCAAAAAAAAAAAAAAAGGTTCAATCAATCAATTTCAGCTTCTCGTGGGAAAAAAAAGATCTTGCAAAGTTGGAATTGATTGATTGAACTTTTTAGTCCCACCCAGTCTGCCATTACCATTGCGGCCACACCCACCCAATGGGCCATGCCCACCCAAATGGCCACACCCACCCAATGGGCCATGCCCACCCAGGACCCAACGATACATAAGTGGGTTTTGGGTTGCAGTTTGGGCACTCGGTCTCTAAAAGGTTCGTCATCACTGCCATAGAAAGTTATTTTCACAATTGATCTTTAGGAAGTTTCAACTAAAAACATTTAGAACAAAATTATGTATTGTCTTACAATTTTAAGTATGACCAGTTATGATCCTTGAGGTTTGGTGTAGTTCGTTCATATCTGTTACTATACTGAGTAAGGGCAAGTAACCAGCCACCGAGTCTTGTTAGCACATTTGCTGAAAATGATGCTTTCTAATTTTAGGCTGAAATCTTATGTAGATACCAGCATATAAGGCATAAATACGAGTAAGAGAGATGAAAAATCAAAGACTCCCATTCCTACCTTCAAAATCTTTCTCTTTCCTTAATAAGTTCATTCCTCCAAATGAATCTCTACATCAGTTGAAGATAATATGTCATTTATTACAACGAGTGTTTTTTTCTCTCCAGAAGGGTGTTTTCTATTTTGTAGTCCATGAAGCCTTCCTTCAGTAAAACCCTCTTTTTTTTGTATTTTAGGCAAATCGTACCTGCCCTATCTGCAGAGCTGATGCTTCAGAAGTGCATCGTGATTCAGAATGACCGGTCTAAGAGCACAATTCTACTTTGGGTGTTCCTAGTCACATGTGTGTGTGTGTGTGTGTGTGTATGTATATATATATATATACACACACAAACATATATATATATATATACATATATATATATATATGAACTCTCCATTGAACTTAACCCGTGTGGCTTCCAGCCTTCCCTTTACACAAAAGGGTCAATGGACCTTTCTTTGCACTGTGTGATTTAATCAACTATAAAGCTTATAATTAGTCTTCACAATTATGGGATTGTTATACTAACTGTGTGATTGGAACTCCAAAGATTTTTTTTTTCTTTTAGCTTAATTTCGTGTGTGCACTAACATTCCCTGGTTTTTGTGTGATCATTCCGAGTGTTGCTGCGAGATTACAGTGGAACGTGATCTTCTAGCATGTGCTTTTATATAAAAAGTGGTAGCTCCAAACAATATAGCAATCTACCTTATATAGAGCCTTCAAATACTGTGAGTGAGAATAAATGGTGCGGGTGGGTGCGTTGATCGCAGGGTGTCTGTATGTATGCAGGCGAGTAAGAGTTTGGCGATAGGTGTGAGAGGACTTATATACCAGCATGTACTGAGGATGTATGTGTGTAGTATTAATTATGCTGCAATGTATAATCTTGTGTGTTATTTAAACAGTACTAGTACTGTACACTGGTTTCTTTCCTTGCGTTTGCAGTTGCACACTGAATGCAAAGAGTGCAGCCATTATAGACATTCGATATTTCATCCCTCATGTATTTAAATAGTATAAAAGGTCCTTTTTGCTTTTATTCAGATAACTATTATGCTTCCCATTAATTGGGGGTCCGATATCTGTCATTATAGAGCATATTGATTCTCAGTTAGAATTAATTAGCCTTAATTTTAGGCTGCTGGAATTTCTACATTTTTTAAAAAAAACAAACTTGCAGCTCACTGCTAACTGTATAAGGAGTTGCAGCATTGCACAGTCAGGTAGCAATATTAAAAATTCTCAACTGATAACGGAAAAGTTGATTGTCCTCTCTCTCTTTTTAAATTCTTCCAGTCAATATTGGTTCTTTTTGATTGAACTTTGGAATACGTTGTTTTTAAATTTCAGAGAATGAAGATAACTTTGTTTTGAGTGGGGTTTTTTTTTTAATTTTTTGTCTATAAATACAGAAACTGAGAGGATCTTCAAATCTTGTGCAAATGCTTCTTGTATTGTTGGCAATATATTTGCTTAAATATACAGATACACTGGCACTAATTCACATTCCTTGCCATATACAAGCTACCGTATACAATTAAATAGCTTTTAAAGAAAGTTTTGTTCCTTTTTCAAAGCCTTCAGTTTTGTGAACAAAGTAAACCCTTAGCACTTTCTTAGAGATAGAACATTGTGGTTCTCCATCTTAGCCATGGTACCATGTTCACCTTCTACTGCCTGGCAAGTGTCACAAATGCAGTTTCCAGCTTGCTACACTGGGTAGCGAGTTTTTGTGTGGATGTTAAAGCATCCTCAGTATTGTATGGATAGTATGAAGAATATTCATGGTCAAGAATGGGCGGGTATACGAAATCAAGAAAAAAAAACTAAATGCTGTGAATTTGGAGTTGACCTCCTTTCAACTGCCTTCTGAATAATGTAGTGGTAAAATTGGCATCACTTAACATTCTGGACTTGGTGTTTAACTTTTTTTTACAACAAAGGAAACAGTTGTCTACCCGTGGCTACATGGTTCTCCAAGAGAGGAACATTTATTTTTGGATTTCATTTATAAGCGCCAAAACTCTTGATTGCAACGGCACAAGCGCTGCAGCTATTGCTGCTAGTCAGCTTTCTGGATCTTGTGTGTCTTTTCTGATGCTTTATATGCTGCTATATATTGAATCTCTTTATTCCTCCAGAACAGTGTTGGTTGTGAATCATCCTCCTTTCTCAAAGCTCTGATGACTAATCGCAGTGTGTGGTTCTACAAATTAAAAAAAAAAGCACAATTCCCACCAACCTTCCTTGTTTCAGATACTGTTTGCCTCTGTTTAGTAACTTAGACGCCTTAGTCTGTCCATAGTGTCAGGAACTGTAATCTGTGTGACAGATTTTACATGTTACAATTTTTCTCTCAATGTGCTCTAAGAAATTGTTTCAGTGTGTTGAAAAGTTTAAATTATTGCACATGGTAAATTTTATTTTTTTAAGCAAACAAAAATCATGGGTGGGGGAGTGGGAGGGAAGCCACACATGTTTTACAGGAACTCTGGATCTTTTTTATATTGCTGGATTTTCAAAAAAAAAAAAAGAAAAAAGAAAAAATTACCACGCAGAATTACCATACTACTACCCTGCTCATTGTCCGCTGAGTATCCACTCAGTGTAAAACCCTGCTTTGGTAAAAGTAAGACGTTTTCTGGAACGCAGTGATGAGGCACATAGTATCTTAATTCCGAGAAAGGGCTTCCCAGCCCTGCGTCTGGATCCAATATTGCAGTGCAGCGTCTCTCCCTTGAATCCCCGTTTTCGTTTGAAGGACACTGTTGATGGAGGGAATAGGACTGCAGGAGGGGACTACTTTGGTAGCATATTCAAGTTAATTGTTGCACTCTTGTTGTGACAGATCTTTGTGAATGACTTGTTCGCTTGAGAGTCTTGCAAATATGTGCAGGTTTGCTTCCTGTGGTTAGGCTTGTGTGAGACACACGCGCATGTGTTCTGAACCAGCTCAAGCTGGCTGCAGTGGAATTCGGAACCCATTGCAGCTGGCAGACGAGAGGGGGAAACTATACTTTGCGGTAAACTGCCATGCATTGTGCACATCAACACATCTAATTCTACAGCCCTCGATGCCTGACAGCACCTGATTATACTATTGGGTAGCCTCTTCCCCCTTATCCCTACCTCTCCCTAATGGAAAAAAAATAATAATAATAAAGTTGGCTTTATCATGTTGGCACTGCTGGGGTTTTATTTGCATGAATTGTCAACTTAATTTGACCTCCTGGCTTTTTAAAAAATTAATGGTATAAAGGCCTTAAGGATATCTCTTTAAGGTCACACCTCTTGGTTTTCTTTTGCAGATTAATTTGTGGAAAGTAATTTCTTTTGTATAAACTTCTTTGTACAGTCTCCAGAATGTGATATTTGTCGCCGCTGTTAAAACATTTCCACTTCTTGTACTATTTGGGATTTACCAACTCTTAACTTTGCTTTCTAAAAACTCAGTAAAAAAAAAAACTCTGTTATTTGTAGACATCGGAGAACCGTGGTTCTCTCACCTTTGTTCCCTTTGGTACCTTCAGTTACCTCATTTTGGTATTTTTTTATGTTGCAAATTTGCTAATGATTATAAAAGCTTATGGATTTTGTTAGAATTATATTTGTCAAGTGTTTTCTTTAAGATCATACTCCATTGTATCATTTAACATGTAGTTTTAAATGTATTATAAATATCTGTAACCAAATCATTTGAAGGCTTGATAAATTTTTAACAAAATTTGTACATTTTTTATGAGAGTTACTAGTAATGCTTTACTAAGTAGTGCAATGAATTTTTATTTTTAATCCCTGTGCCCAATTTTGGAGTTGAGAGGGTTGTTCAGTAATAAATGTATGATGTACACTTAGACAACTTTGTGTTTTTTCTTTTAAACTAGCTCTTTAAAATCTATTAATTGGCTTGGGGATTTCCCCTTTAATTTAAAAATAGAAATAGAGGTTGGATTGTATTCTCTATATCCATATTTATATAGCCAGAACATTATTAAAGATCCAAATGATAATTTTATATTAATTTAATGTAAAATTAATTTAGCTTTGATACTTTGTTTAAAATTTCAGCAACTGAGGGTTTGGAAATGCCCAATTCTCTTTAAAGAATATTGGTTTGGGTATTTATATATTATTTCTTTAGGGTATTCAAGTTGTTATATATTGTTGCTGTTTATAATACCCTGTTTTAATGTGCTGTGACTCAGTTATGCATTTAAACTATCAGTTTACTAATGGCTTCTTATTACTACCATCTTTAGGGTATAAGGTAGACAGATGTGGGGCATTCCATTTCCAGATGGTTTAAATGCAGTCCACAAAGTTCCTTTTGTTTCCATCTCTAACGTGCCAAAGCATCAAAGTGTTCCCCAGTCCCTATGCATTTGCATATTCTTATGTGATGGACTCATATCTCAGTTTATGAAACTTTATTCTAATAATATCAAAGTTTGAGATTTGCATAATCTTTGTTTGGCATACTCTCGATATTTTGTTACCGATGTAAGCAAATGGAGCTGAATCTAAGGAGAGTGGAACATTTCTGATTCTTCTCTCAGCTGGGTGAAACTGGGGTTGCATCCCAGCACAATGGATGGTGCTTGGCTAATAATCCTCCCTTTGTTTACAAAGACATGTATGATAACTGGCAATTTCATTTTCAGTTTACCTTCCTACTTCCTGCTTTTTTCATTGCCACTCAGGATATTTTCAGTAGGAAGGATGCTCCTGGAAAGCTCCATATGCTACTTAAAAAATACTTGTGCTTTTTTTGGAAGTTGGAACAAAATCTCAGGCCTCTGTTCACCACCAGAATACTCTGTGGAAACAGTGGAATGAGATCATATTTAATATGGAGGGCAACGCCAGCAAAAATAAGAGTTGAGTACAAAGATAGGCTACATCTTGCTGACGGTCACAGAGAAAAATACTCTGAAGAAAAATCCCCAGATCTCATTGGAGAAGAATTTGGGTTCAGAATGTTATTGACCATTCCATGTCTTCTTCCCCCTTCTTTCCTAGTCATGCTTCTCAGTTCACAAATCTGGCCACTGTTGTAAGATAGTTGGGGAAAAAAGGCTCAGTCAATAATTCCGTAATTATTCCAAGCACAAAATAGCACCATTTAAATACAGCCCATTTCTGGAATGGCATAGAATCCCAGAACACTTCCAATAGTTGGGACTACTATTTTACTAGTCAAGATACTTATTTTGCCAGTGATTAGGCATACACAGGGGCACAAAAATGGCAACTCTTCAAAGCAGCTGAAACTTCTCAGGATCATGAGGAACCTTTCTAGGAAAAGATACAGTTGTTTTAAAAGTCTGTGTTTGTGCTCCTACAACTCTGAAGCCTCTTTCTGAATGAAATTCAAATCCCTGCATAGCCCTAGTATAACCTAGAGTAGGTTAGTACTTTAGTATATACTAAAGGGAGATGCAATTACCACCAAAGCATTGTATTAATCGTGGCAATTGCTTCCTTTTAATATATAATGGTTGCTTAAGATCTTGAGAAAAATAGAGTACAATACAGAGATAAATAAAAACAAATTCCACAAGAATTAGTTAATTGTGATAGTTTTTTTTAATGTTTTATTGATTTTCTAATTTTACATTTAAGTATTTAAAAAGCAACGTGGCGGCTGAATTAATTGAAAATTCAATGACATACAAGTATCTTTAGTATAAGTCTCAAACTACCACATTAAATATTTCCTCTTTTCCCCTTTGTATTTACTGTCTCATGTTTAAACTAATACAATTCTTATTATATCAATTAAATAAGAATAACATTCTTACATTTATCAATAATTTTTAGCTTATACATATCCTGGTTATTTTAACATTCAGTCTTTATAGACAATCAATGTCCTAATCAGTTTTTCCCAATTTTTAGTTTCCCATTCATATTTAAATTTAACATTTAATATTTATAATTTCCAAGTTTTAAGTGACCAAAGTTCCCTTTATCACAATTCATCACAAAGTCTAATATTCAGGATACATGTTTTATCTATTTGAATATATTCCATTTCTCACCATCTTACGTCATCTAATGAACAATACAGTGTAACATTCTTATTTTCTATTGATTTTGAAATGCCTTAAATTTAGTAATGAAAATTTCTCTTGTTTCAACATCAAATACTTCCTCTCTTTTTCTCTTAATGTCTATCTCATATTTAAGCTAGTAGTTATTATATCAGCTAAGTAAAACATGTTTATTACATATTCAAATTTAACTTTTGATATTTATACTTCCAAGTGTTAAATGACCAGTTTTCTTTATCTCAGTTCATAACAAAAAGTAGCATTCAAAGTACACATCTTGTATATTTGTGTATATTCTATTTTAATCCTCAGTAATAAATGAAAACCCCAATTTTCTTGAGCCTTATTCTTGCTTTCTTTGCCAACTCGCCTTTCATGTCCGTGCTTTTAAGTGATCAAATAGTTCTCCCTCTGTTGTTATGTGTTGTTTGAGATAAAAGAGGCCATCCAGTCACCATTTTTTTGGAAGGGCTAACAAATCGTCTCTCTATTTTTCCATCTTGATGTAGTTGTCCTGAAATGTTTATCTTCCCTTCAGTCTGTTCTTCTTGATCCTCAGGTTTCTTCTGGTTTATATAGAAAGTCTTTTCCATTTTCAGTGTTGTCAGTCCCTTTTCTGGGTTTTCTATTAACTGTGCTTGTTGATCAGTTGAATCTTCTATTGTTCCACTTCTTCTATTATATTCTGTGTAGTTCTTTAGTTGTAATCAAAGTTTGGGTTCATATATCTAGGCTGACATCTTGTTCTTTTCTGTAGTTTCTTATTTCATCAGTAACTGTAAGAATAGTTTCATAAATTGCTTTCAACATAAAAAGAATCTGTTCCTGATCTTCATCCATGTTCTCTTAGTGGTGTGTTAAATTAAGAGCTTTACAATCAGAAAATGAAAATAATTTTGTCACTGAGTATAGAACACTGGGCTTCTCACAGCTGATATCTGCCAAGGTTGCAAGAGTCTTATCTATAGTCTGTGTTTCAAGCCAAGTCTCTTTTAGATAATAACAAGTTGTAATATCAGGTTTAGCCACAAGATGTCGCCCACACAGTTTAAGATTTTTGTTTTTTTAAGTCCAAAATTTTTATAATCCTTTCTCAATTTTACTTCTTTTTTGTAAGTAAAAACCCAAATCTTCAATAAGAACAAGAAATCTTTTAGTCCTCAAATTTTAGAAAGATAAAAATCCAGTTAGAATCAAGTTATTTTTTTAGCATTTTAAACTCCCCTGGATAGTCAGTCACCGCTGTTTTTAGAAGGTGGGATAGAATTTCCCTTCCCTCTCTCCACAGGGGGGAAAATACTTTGGGCAGCTTATACAGGTAGAAAAAATTAGGGTTGAAGAGAGGTTCAGATCTCACCCAGTCTCATCTGCGCTACTTTATAGGTGCCTGGTGATAAATTTGACTTCGGCTGTCTGCAGCCTAGTGACGGGCCATATTTCTATGGCCAGTCTTTCATCCGCCGGTTTGGAGGGCTGCCCCAGATCGAGTGGAAGAGCTACCGCCCTCCCGCGATCAAGCAGGGATCCTCTCCTTGTCGCCCCTACAGGATGACTTTCGACCCTTTCCAGGGTCCCCCAGTGATGCGAAATTGGACATGGAAGACGGAGCTCGTCTTCCAGCGGCCGCAGCAGCCACAGAAGCAAACCGGAAGTCCTAATTGTGATAGTTAACAGATGATGAGTAATGGAAATAGAGAATTTAAGGATGTTTGACTCTCGCTTATTCTTTTTTGTAACTCCAATGCAAGGTAACTTCCAAGCTTTCTAGCATTTCAACCAGCATGGGGAAGGACAAATATGTAATCTAAATATTTAAATGACGATCCCAGGTAAGACAACCTGAGGCAATCAGAATCCTCCAGTTATGTGTTGGATCAACTCCCATTTTGCTTTCTCATTAATCCTGCAGCTTGGTCTGGGGCTGTGGAAGTCCAGTACACCCAGGGCATCATGTTGCCTGAGGTGAACCACACCTCCCTCTTTTCAAAGCTAATATACTTGAACAATTGTTACTGGCCAAGGTTACTAACCTACAATAGGTTAGTTTTAAGAACCACTTTAAGGTCGACAAATAATTTGAGGATGAAATTGCCAATGAAGAACTGAGCCCTTGTTCCTAAATAAAGCCTTTCTGATTTCCCTATAACTCTGTCTCCATTTTTTGTTTGTATTTTGTTAAGACAGAGATGGATTTGGTCTACATATGCAAAGGAACCACCATCTTTGACAAACCCTGTATAGTATATTGGCCCAGTCGCTATGCCTTAAAACATCTAGTTTCAAACATAGTTCTGGATAGCAGGGATGCATTTCTAGCAGCACTCATCCTCTCATCAAATCAATAACACCCCAAAGGGACTCTCTTTCCTCCCTCAATGATAGAAGATCCAAAAGGAAGATGCAAATGGTAGGAAAAAAGTTTATTCAACAAATTTTATTACTGTTTTCAAATCTTAAAGAGTTTGTCCATTATTGTTTGATCATTTCCTTAGACTTAGAGCAAGATTGACAGAATGACACCATCATGAAACACAAAAAAATTATGCAGATATTGCATCAAATGGTTCAGAAATCAAGCCTGCATCTACTTCCTCTCCTTGTTTCTGGGCTTCGGTACTTTTTAGGAGAGGCATTCACCTGTATAGACTCCATAGCACATAGAATGCATCTCCACTTGCAGCCTATGTTAGACTGTGAAGTTTATATGAATGTAACTCTCATTAGCGTATACCAGAATGGTCCAGAAACGGGGTAGGTGGACTAACACATGCCTGAAATTTCTGCTTGAGCTTTTTAGTTACCACCTTTAAAGCGTTT